ACAATTTGCTTCTATAACATCTCGTTTAAAAAAAGTTTACTTGGTTGAATTCCAACTGATCGAGTAATTCAAGTAATTTTTTATTTTTCTCAGTTTCCTTCAGTTTCACATAATGCTGCTGTAATCCATGCAACGTTAACTTTGCTTCATCATCAACGTATACTTCCATTGGCTGGAAAATTCAGACCCATATAATTTGCGGAAAATTCGTTTACAAGGCCCAATAAATTACACATCACCATCACTGGCTGTTACTTTCACATAGCATTCGTATCTTTCTGATATCTGTATATATTTGAAATCGATTGACCCAAATTACCAATTTTGTTCCGTTTTTTGAAAATTCATTTTTTTAATGGCAGTTTTAATGGCAGTTTGCGATCCTGAGGAAATCGCTAGCACTGAATGTCCATCATCATGGACTTCTTAATTCATATATGGCATGGTTTTGTTACGTTTCAACATATCAGTCTGTGATCTGGCCCAGAATCAATAAATTCACCTTTGCTTCAAGTCTGTCATTTATTACTTGAGTTAAAAATCTCATATGTTAAAAATAAATAAAGCAGAGTGCTTGCTTCCGGTTCGTACAAAAAAAAAACCGCAAGGCTTTCCACATCACGAATATAAATTACTGCAAAATTGCTGCGCCAAAAATTTTCAACTGGCACATGCAACGCCATACGAAGAGCGCCATGTCGAATCCTTCTTCAGGAGTAGATCTCGGAAGGGAACCTAAAATTTACTATGAATTTTAAACTGAGTAAATTACCAACACAAAAGCGGTCCGAATTCCCCAAAAAAAAGCGTGACCAAACACCAAACAAGTCAACAGATAACTAATGTCTCATTCAGTGTGGTAATTTTTGGTCTCTTCTTTCCAGAAAATGTTAGGTTCAGTATATAGCAATATGCATGAAACAAAATAATAAAAACAGCTTACCTTCCAGAAAATCCACTCCGTGATCCAATTATGACATAATAATGGGAAGCCATGAGAAATTAATGTTTAAGGGAAGAGGGCTAAACGTAGTTTGACAACGTTTAGGGAAAAGCCATTGCAATTGCTCCAACGAAAACAGATTTGCTGGGCGCAGAGCTTTTCGCGTAATTTTTCTGACATGAATTCAATGGACAGCGGCAAGATTCACGTATCCATCAGCAACCGGCTGGTACTCATTTGACATCCCATCAAAGCGTATAGTGTATAGATGTGTGTGTGTGTATGTGTGTTGCTGCTTGCACCAGAAAATCTTACATCTTGCATGAATTTCTTGCAGACCACTCGTAAATCCCTTGGTAACGTAGCGCTGAACATCATCACCTGTTTCTCTTGCGGCGTCATTTTCACAATTTCTTGAACGTCTCGTCTCATATCTAAAGCAAATCTTTTAATATGCTATGATATCATACAACGCTCACCTTCTGTTTCGGATCGGAGAAAAAAAAAACATGCCATTATCACCAATCATTTTGTCGCACTCATCCAAAACGAAATACTTGATGTTCTTCAATTTCAAGCTTCCTTGTCGTGCTAGTTGGAGAGTACGGCCGGGAGTTCCAACAACGATGTGTGGTGTATTGTTTTTAAGTGTCTCTTCATCCTTTTTGATTGGTATGCCACCAAAGAAGACAGCAATCCGAACACCAGGAATGTATTTGCTGAATCGTTCGTACTCCTTCGAAATCTGGAACGCCAGTTCGCGTGTGTGGCACATGACCAGAACAGACACCTGCAAAACAAAAAACGCCTTTAAGATGTCAAGACATTAAATTCCGACACAGGAACTTGGAATGTTCATGTTTTTCAATTTTTCCGCAAAGCATATATCACACAAAATCTCCGACTAAACTTATGGAGCTGTTACAACATAATTCATGCCTTCTTTTAATTTCAAAATTCTTCGCAAGAAGTAATTTCTTCACGATACAAAATATGCGACTTACCTCACCATCGACAGGTTCAAGTTGTTGTAGAGTCGCCAGAACAAATACAGCTGTTTTGCCCATCCCTGATTTTGCTTGACAAACAATATCCATGCCCAAAATAGCCTGGGGAATGCATTCATGTTGTACTGAAACTTCACACAATTATTTGACTCGTACTGAGACTAAAGAAAATGTTTATGTGTAAGCGCAATATTTAAATGTTCACATCCGTACCACGCACACAACATAACATGAAGTCTAAGTTTAATCAAGTGAAGCATCCTTCAATACCTAGAAAAACAATATTTATGTCTACCCAACGCAAATAAATGACCTGAAAAGTACATACCTTCCGAAGGATGTTCGAAACCACAATCCACAATTGCCCGTAATAGCTCCGGCTTCAAGAGGAAATCCCGGAAACCACTGCTGTGGATGGATGCATAAGTACCCTGAAATACAGGAACATCCTCAATTAACTATAACAAATAGTAACTAATGAATCCCATTTTTCCTCGCTGAGTTCCTCATTAAATCTATATTTCCGAAACTCCTCGGCCATCCCTTGTGTTGCCTTTCTTTACATATTAGCACAGTCGTTTTGCAGAAAGAAATACGGAAAACAGTAACGATATAAGTCCTTCGAGACTTACGAATAACATAGAATTCTTTAATCAAATTTAACTTCGTACTCCGACTATATTTGAAATCAAACTAACCCAAGTTTTTGCTCAGAAACTGTTAAATCTTGCTCGGTTTGAAGTAATTTTGCCAGGCAAATTAAAAGGAAAGAAAAGATACCTTGATTTTCTTATCCGTTGCTGATCCATTTTCTGCTTTGTTACCATCAGTCGTCTCTTCTTGCTCTTCCTCATAGTCCAACAGCTGATCTTCGTCCATTACTGCTTTCCTGATACTACTTCAAATTAATCCGTGACTAGATCAAGTAAACAGCGGTTGTGATCTATAAGAATATTCTGACAATAGAGTAAAATATGAAAATCCAAGTGATAGCGAGCGAGACGCAATCTGAAAACATTCACGCCAACATGCGCCCAAAACAATCACCAACAAGGGAAGCAAGCAACTAACTAACCAACCTACAACCTAAATGTACCAGCGTAAGGAAAGAATGAGCTATCGATTTTTATGCAACTCCAACACAATCGACTGAGCAACGCAATGCAACACCCATATCCTAATATATGAATTTTCAAAACTCCACAGCAATGGTGCCAATTGGTGTTTCGCAAGAACTAAAGTTCGCGAGGGTCCGTGAGGACAGCGCGGTGGGCAGAAAATGCACGAGAGCTATTCTTATCGATGTTTGAAAATTAATACGTTACAGGTTCTTCGTCGAAATTTATTTTTTAAATTGACAGAATTTACTATTTTTGAACCGTATGGTTCCTGCTACAAATAAACCAAAATGGTCCTAAGTGAAGAAAAATGCTTTAAAGCTATTACGAATTCTTGGTAAGGAAGTGAAGCAATCGCTTAGTGAAGTCTTCTCCCCATCACTTTATTCATATACTTACTCCACTTGAAATTACATCGTGATCCAACAGCACCGGTAAGCAATCATAGCGTCGGAATAGGTAATTGCAGGTACTGTAGAAACAACAAAACAAATGGTTGCAAACTAAACTAAATGACCATGTGAAAACAAACTAACTATTTCACTAATGGCGTAATTACTAAAGGGACCAGTAAAATCTATTCACTCCTCTTTATATCTAACAATTATTATGGCACTATTAAAAAATATTAATATATCGTATTTATTCCGGCTTCTAAATAATGAAAAAATAACTATTAGGTACTGGGAAAAGAAAACTGACATGTCATATCTTTCACTGCTATCAACAAAAATTAATGTTTTGTGCGCCAAAAAATATCAAATTTTATATATATATATATATATATATATATATATATATATATAT